AGGACAATCTCACCAGCATGTCCCTCTGACTGAGGCCTCAGCAGCCACGTGCCCTGCATCTTCCTCTCTGCCAGGGGCTTGGGGCCCCTCCACACGGGGCCCCTGGACACTGTCCTCAGAGGACTCTGATTTTCTTCCCCTGGGGGTCCCCCTCCTTTGTTGTGCATTCAACAATTATTTATTGAGTTCCTACTGTGTGCCAGGCATTGTTGAAGGCACTGGACCGGGCAAAGAGGAACAGAGACAGAGAAGTGTCCCTAGTCTCGTGGGACTGATGTGGAAAGTCAACTGGGCATCCGAGAAGCTAGATAGGAACAGAAGGAAAGGCGGGGAGTGTGTTCCAGGCGGAGGGAACAGGTTCCTGACGTGCAAACCAGCTGTTCTAATGGAAAGAGCATAAAGCTGGCCCGTGTGACCCCAACTGAGTGTGAAGAGGAGATAGGGCCGGGGTTAGGCCCCTGGGGCTGGGTCACCCAGGGCCTTGGGCCCCAGACAGGGTTTGGGGTTTTGTTCTCAGGGCAATGGCAAGCTGTTGGATGGTTTTATGAGGGGGATGACAGGATCTGATGTACCTATTTAAGAGTTCACTCATCTGTGGCAGGGAGAATGGATTGGAAGGGCTGAGGGAGACAAAGCAGGGGGACAAGAGAGGATGATGGGTCAGATAAGGGTCGTGGCTGTGGGAGGGGGAGTCAGGGACAGAGCAGGATGTGGGTAGAAGGGTGTATGGGTAGTGTGAGTGTCAGCGTGAGGGAGGGAGGAAGCCAGAAGGACCCTAACTTGTGGCCCATGGATGATGGGGTCATTTATTATTATTTTTGTTAATCCTCACCTGAGGGTATTTTTTCCATTGCTTTTCAGAGAGAGTGGAAGGGAGGGGGAGAGAGAGAAACACAATGACTGGTTGCCTCCTGCATCCCCCAACCAGGGGCAGGGAGGAAACATGCAACCCAGGTACGTGCCCTTCACCGGGAATCGAACCCAAGACACTTCGGTGCTCAGGTCAACGCTCTAACCATTGAGCCACACCAGGCAGGGCTGGGTTATTTATTAACATGGGCAGACTGGGGCTTTTGGGGGCAGAGCAGGAGCCTAGTTTGTGGCCTAAGATGCCCTTTAGACATCTCAAGTTGGGTCCAAACGGGAACAAAAACCACTCGGTATCTCAGCAGAAGGAATTGAATGCAGGGATGGCTGGGCTGGTAGCGGTCAAGGTTGAGAAGAGTCAGATGCGGGACAGTGAGGCAGCCCGGGGACAGGAAGCTGCTGCTGCTACTACCCTTGGCTGGAGGGACAGAGCTCTGGCGGTGTTGCCTGACCCCAGGACGAGGGTCACAGGCTCAGAGGGAGCGCTAGGAGACAGCCACTGCCTGAGATGCCCCAGGCATGAGGGTGAGGGGGTTGGGGTGGTCACCAAGGTTGGAGGTAAGACTGGTGGAGACCTCAACACGCCAGACAGTGCTGCCTTGAAGACTTTGGGGTTCTCCCAGGGCTGTTCCGCCCTCAGCCATCACCTTGGACTTCTTAGCGCCTCTACCCCCTGAAGACTCCCACCTCCAATCCTAGCCACCTTGAAGTTGAGATTCCTTTCCCAACACTTCATCCGTCAGCTGCTTTTTGGGACCTTGGAGAGCTGGGCTGCGCCTTCCCGGCTGAGAGAATGGGGAATGATCGGATCAACAAATAAAGAGTGTGGGAAGACCGGTGTCCACGCTCTGTGCATGCAGAGACAGGGCCTGGGCGCTCTGACTCAGACCCTCGCTGCCTCCTCTAAGCCCCATGGCCCGGCTCCTCTGTGGCCCTTCTGGGCAGGAGTCGGGGTGGTGCCACCATAGAAGCTCTGGTTCCCAGAAGGGACAAGCCGAGGGGACAGGAGGGCAGTGAGGCCTGGAGTCTTCCCCAGGTCTCTGCTGCAGGGAGACCTCTGTTTTAAGGGAAAACCAACGCCTTTGTCCCAGGACCAGGTGTAATTCTGGCCCCTGAGGTAGGAGAGTTCAGGCGTTGAGACTGAAACGAGGACCTAGCATGACGAGCTTTCTCTAATCCAAGTAATCTCAGCCCAAACCTAAAGCATCCTGGGAGCTTTATCCGCCAGTCACGTGGCAAGCAGGAGTGCTGGGGCTAGGGAAGGTGGGAGCCGGGACCTCTGGCTAGGTGGCCTCCATCTCAGCAGCCTTGCTGTGTACCTTTCAGGGAACTCTGCCTAGAGGCCCCAAGCAGGCTGCTGCATCTACATTTAGCCAAGGACATGCCGATGTCTGGGACCTAGAGCCTTAGGGGTTCCCAGTGTGGCCCGTGAATATCAGTACTTTCAGACTTTCTCGGCAGTTTAGTGATTGTCGGGGATTTCTCTGCCTTTATGAACTGATGGTAATACCTCACCTCCAAGATGTGACTGTGAACTTGTATCTGCTGAGTCCCAGTGCTAGACAGTGCTTGGCTTGTTAGCTGCTGCGGTTTCATTTGATCCTCCCAACAGCTGTATGAGTAGGTGCCATGTATCCCCTTCCTGCAGATGAGAAAGCACTTTGTTTAGCTGTTGAGTGATAGCTGTCATCGGAACCCAGACCTTCTGACTCAAGTCCAGGTGGCTGACCACCAGGCTCTTCTGTATTTTATTATAAATTTCAGAGAGAGGAAGGGAGAGAGAGAAACTGGTTGGTTGCCTCCCGTGTGTCTCCTGAACAGGGATCAAACCCACAACCTGGGTATGTGCCCTCACCAGGAACTGGGGCTGCCACCTGCTGCTGCCGCCCCAGCCTCAGGGTCAGTGGAGAGGTCACTGCATGACCAGGTGGGAGCCAAGGTTTAAGATTCGGGTCTGCTTGAACCCTTGGCAAGGCCTCTTCCCAGCTGTCACCTGGGACTGCCTTCCTAAGGGGAGCATTTGCACGGTGCTTGGAACTTTCTCTGGATGCAGAACCTCCGTTTCTCCAGCCCTTGTCACTGCCCTGCAGATACCCGTGTGCAAATGCCCTCCCCCCCTCGTGTCAGCCCCTCAGCTCCCTGGTAGCCGAGCTCCTGAATGCCTGAGGCTTCTGGTGTGAGAAGACCCGGGTGTGGGAGGGCAGAGGCCTGAGTCCAGCCTGTGTGTGGCCACTGATGCCCTGAGGATTGGGAACACCCAGGAAAAGGGGGCACTCAGGCACCGTGCCTGGTGCTTGGCATGACTCCTGCCCTCAGGGCTACTTAACAGGCCAGCCCGGATTCTGACATCAGCCTGTTTCCCCTGCCCCTCCCCATCACCTCTAAAATCACTTCCCTTTGATAAATTGCATCTCTCATTTATATCCAAGATGCTGGGGACACACATGAATGGTCCCTGCCCTCATGGAGCTGACAACCCAGTGGGGAGCCCGAGCATTAAGTAAACGATGGGGCTGGAAGATGGCCAGGAAAACAAGGCGGTGAAGGAGGGGTAAGGGGGCTCATACTTGCCATGTAATGTGTAGGTGGAAGGGAAGGCCTCTCAGAAGATGACATGTGAGCAGAGGTGAAGGGGTGACGGGACGTCTGAGGGAAAAGAATTCCAAGTTGAAGGAACAGCCAGTGCGAAGGCCCCAGGTGGAAGTATGCCTAGCATTTTAGAGAAACACAAAGAGGCTGTGTAGTTGGAGTGGCAAGAATAAGGAGAAGACAAAGTTCCAGAGGGAACAAGAGGCAGATGGAGAGGCCCTGGGCCCCGGTGAGGACTCGCTTTCACTCTGTGTGGGAGGAGACATGAGAGGGATGTGATCTGACAGATGTTCACAGGGCTCCTCTGGGGGGAAAAACTAAAAGGGGGGGGGCAGGGAGCCCTGCATTAATTCAGGCTGCAGAGGAGGGTGGCTGGAACAATGTGGGGGCACTGGAGTGAGGAGAAGTGAGATTCTGGATCTATTTTTAAAAAATATATTTTAATTGATTTTTTACAGAGGGGAAGGGAGAGGGACAGAGACCTAGAAACATCATGAGAGAAACATTGATCAGCTGCCTCCTGCAACCTCCCCCCACTGGGGATGTGCCCACAACCAATGTACGTGCCCTTGACTGGAATCGAACCTGGAACCTTTCATTCCGCAGGCCGACGCTCTAGCCAATGAGCCAAACCGGCTTTGGCTGGATCTATTTTTAAAGAAGAGGTAGAATTTGCTGAGCGAGAGAGAAGGTGACTGAGCACCTGGAGGGTTGGGGCTTGCTGGTTCCCTAACTGTGGAGGAGCAGGTTTGGGAGGGAAACTGAGTTAAGGGTGAGACGTGCTAAATTTGAGATGTCTATTGGGTATTCCAGGTGAAGGTGTCACCCTCGTTGGGTCCACAGATAGAGAATAATTACAACCAATGACACATAACCTTAGAATAGTTACCTTGTGCTCTACATAAAATAATACAAGTAGCAACCATTGTCTATTTTCACTCTCGGTCTTTCCATCTCTTGCCCTCCAGTAGCCATGTGGCCCATCAGGGATTGCCCTCAGAGGAGGTTATCAGTTCACTGATGACACTGTATGTGGCAAGAGCCAAGATTGGCTCCCAGGCTGTCCAATTTCGAGACCAGCATGTTCTCTCATCTGTAGTTGCTTTTGTGATAAAGGGGATCGAATCGGACTCTTTCCTGCTCCAGAAAGCCCTGGATCTGCAGTTCTCTGAAAACAAAGCTCCCTGACCAGGCAGCTGTGTGTGGGCTAAGGATCTGTAGGGAGTAAGTGAGCAGGGGCTCTCCTAAAACTTCTCTTTGAACTTGAGTGCCTGGACTCTCCCAAGAAGGCCTTCTGGGTTTGCGTAATTTTCACAATCTGGGCAGAGCTTCAGACAGGCAGCTGAGGGGTGAGAGGTTTTAGTTTGTCACTGGAGAGGGAAGGACTTGCTGGTGTCATCCACAGCAGGTGGGGGAGGGCAGCGTGCCTGTCAAAGATCTGACTCCCCAACTTCCACACCTAGGCATCCTCCGGAGTCTCCACCTTTCTCACCAAACCTCCTTCTCCACCCAGATTCCTTCCCTGGGACAAAGATGTGGGCGGGTTGGTTTTCAGGTTTTTATTGTGGGTGTATTTCTGGTGTCAGGATAGGGCGGAGGGCAGGCCCTCCCAGGAGGGGGCAGCGGAGGCCAGCAGACCAGAGGGGACGGAGGGGGGCGGGGGGGGGAAAGACACTTCTTTATTCTCGGATCTTCAGTTCCCTCGCCATCTGACAGAGGCTGCAGGGCAAACAGAAGGTGAGGGCCGCCCAGTCGTGTCCGATGGAGCCCTAGAGGGTGGGAGAGAGCGGTTAGGAGCGCCGCCCTGGACCCAGGAGCCCAGCCCCGGCCCCCGGCGCCGCCCGGGCACCTGGATGCGGTAGCGCTCCCGCATGCCGGTGCGCAGCGAGTGCAGGCCTCCGGGCAGGTAGGGCGCGCAGCAGCACTCGCCGAAGTCGTCCGAGATGCGGCAGGCGAGGCACAGGGGCGCGAAGGTGCCGCACAGGCCTGCGGCGGAAGGGCGGTCAGCGAGGCCTCCGGGTCCCCCCGCCCCCCTCCTCCTGCCAGCGAGGCTGAGGGTCCCTGGGGCCACGCTGAAGGTCCCCGAGGGAACTGAGTGTGGGGAAGTGAAGGTCCCGGCAGTTGGGGTGGAGGATTATGGCTGAGAAATAGGGAATGAAGGAGGTGGTGGTGGTGGGGGGGAGGGGGGCGGAGGTTGAGGGTAGGAGGGGAAGCTGGAGGTGTAAGGTCGGGATCCCAGGAGGTTTTGGGGTCCGAGGAAGGCGTGAGGGTCAGAGTGGGAATCAGGGTCCAAGGAGGAGGCGGCGGGAGGAGGCTGGAAGGGTACTGGGCGGGGAGGGCACTCACACAGGGGCATGTCGTTGCAGCAGTCTGTGAGGCCGGTGTGCCAGTCGCTGATCTGGGTCTGGTAGCAGGTGCTGGCGCACTGGGGCTGGCTGGTCACCGGGTAGGACATGGCTGTAGGAGGAGGGGGACAGGGGTCAGCGGGCAGCCTCGCGGCGCCTCCAGGGTCCCCGCACCCCGCCACCCCTCCCTCTGCCGGGCAGTCTGGGCGCGGCCAGCCGGCCGCCCACGGAGGGGACACCGCGGAGCTCCCTTCCCGCTGCCACATCGGGGCCTGGGCACCCCGGCCGGCCCGCGCCCTGCCTCCTGCACGTCTGGTTGCGGGGCTCCTGCGCGGCTGGGGAAGGTGCGCGCCCCGTGCGGCGGGGCTGGGACGCTGCCGCCGTCTCCGTCTGGGCCGGGGCGCGGGCTCCTGGCGCCTTTGGGGTGCCAGCAGGCAGGCGCCGTCTCTCTGTCTGTCTGTCTTCGAGGCCAGGGCGCCCGGGGGAGGGAAGCAGCCGGTTCCAGGGGCCGGAGGGGCTGCTGGTCCGTCCAGGGATCCCACCTTTGCCTTTCACGTTGTCGTGCATCTCAAACTGCATCTTGCTGGCCCCGAGGCAGCGGCGGGACGGCGGAGTGGCAGCGGTGACAGCGGCGGGTCTGTCCTAGGGACACTGGATACTGAGGGGGGTGGGGGGCAGGGGCACTGGGTTCTCAGGGGAAGGTGCTGGGGAGAAATAGGCCCCCGTCAGCCTGCTGGCCAGAAGAGGCTGGGAATGGGGTGAATGGAGTGGGGGCGAGAAACTCGCCCCTCTCTGTAGAGCTGCCCGACAGACCCCAGAGGACCCTCCTCCCAGAGGCAGAGCTGGAGAGAGAGACTGAGAGGCAGAGACAGGCTGAGTCAGAGGTGCCGGCAGGAAGAGATCAGCGCCCGGTGCCCACAGAGATCCACTAGCACTCACGTCTCCGCAAGCCCCTTTCACAGGTGGAACGCTGAGACTGAGAAAGGTGAAGAGAATGTCCCACCTCCAATGCCAAGGCGGCTAGCAGAGGGGGTGCTAGGCCTTAGGGCTTCCAAACTCAACCCAGCGGTTCTCAGGCTGAGGAGGGGCCCAGGCAGCACTGAGAAAGACAGGGATGGAGAGGAGAGGAAGAGAGAGAGGGAGGGAGAGAGAGAGAGAGAGAGAGAGAGCGCTCTGCAAGTAGACAGAGAGATGTGCGAGGGAGAGCAGTGCAGAGGCTGACCTCAGAGCAGAGGATTGAGGTGGGGGCTGCCTACCTGCAGGAGGGTGGCGGTGCGATGGCGATGGTGCAGACAGGTGTGGGTGACACGGGCACTGGGTTCTCAGTCTCAGGCCCGGAGCTGCTTATATTGGGGCGGGCCACAGGGACTGGGCGGGGCTCTGACAGAGGTGCCCAGGGAGCCCAGCGGGTCAGGCTGAACCTCCCCCCACACACACCCCGGAACTGCCCCTCCTCCCTCTCCACCCTCTCCCCCATTTCCCCTCCTCCAGTACTTCAGAAGACCTGGAAATTGTGGGGGAGGGTCCAGGGATGAGGATAGAAAGGGGAGTGGGCCAAGCGCTGGGAGCCAAGGCGCAAGGGGCACAGCTGGGTCAGAGGACAGAGACCAAAAGAGAGGGAGAGTCAGAGCGATGGCGAAGGAAGGGGACACAGAGACAGAGGGAGGACAAGGTCAGAGGGAGAGGAGGTTTAGATATATGGAGGGAGGTGAGAAGACAGAGGGATGGAGAAAAAGAGGCACAAAGATCTGGGGAGAAACGAAAGGAGGGGAGACCCATTCAGAGAAGTGATGGGAAGGTGGAGGGGCAGGTGGGTGGAGGGAACCACTGGACTCGGAAGGAAGGGAGGAGGAGAAGAAAGGCATGCAGTGCGGTAGGGAGTGCAGCGAGAGTTCCCTTTGAGGCCTCTCCCATCATCCTTAGTGAGGTCCCCATTTCCCTGGGAGAGGGGACTTTGTCTCCCATTCAGGGCCTGGGGCATGTCGGGGGCGTGTGGGGGGGCAGTGTGTTTTGGCTGCGATTCATGTTGGAACCAAAGTAAATAAACACACCTCACCCCACCTCCAAATTGGGAAGGGAGGAGCTGGGAACGAGAGTCAAGGAGGTGGCTGTGGCCCAGGCCTCCTGGTCCTAACAGAGCAGAGGACTGGGGGCCTGGACCCCCGGGCCTGAGGGAGGACGGGGCTGGGGTCCAGATTCTTGGCTTCGGCCAGCTGCATCCCTGAGGGGGGCAGGGTCCTGAGGGTGAAAGAGCTGGAAGCCTGGACACCTGAGTCACCAGTGTCTCCCCTCCAACAAGCCTGGCGGGGTTGGAGGTGACTCAGTGAGGGAAGCAGCAGTAGACCCGGGTGGGGTTCCCAGGACGGGTGTCACCCCAAAAATGTAGGAGGCACTGGAAAATTGGGGTGTCACCTGCAGAGAAGGTGGTGTCGTCACCCCACTGGGCATGGGGTGATGGCAGGTGGAGCATCCTGTTCGCCGGGCATCTCAGCTTTCCCCCAAACCCCTGCTTCAATCCAGCAGGTCCCAAGCCTTGGTCCGAGGTATCACACGGTGGCTTGCTGTCCTTGCCCCAGACTCGGTCTCTTGCCCATCACTCCGTCTGGGCAACCGAATGTCTGTGGAGCATCTCTCTACTTCTGTCCTAGCTCCCTGTCCCCCCATCCCTGCTTCTTTGTCTCCAGCTCTGAATCTCTTCTCTTTCTTTTCTCATCTCTGCCAATGTTTCCAGATTTCTCTGGTTCGCTGTCTCCCCACCTCTGAGTCTTTCCTCTCCAAGCTCCATGTTTCTTGCCCGCCTGTGTTCTTGGCTTCCTATCTCAGCATCTCCCCCTCTCCAGGCGTGCTCTGTGGAGGCACAAGCCCCTCCCCTCCCCCAGCCGTCAGACCATGGGGTGCAGGTGACTCAGGGTCAGTCATCTCTGAGGACCTGGGGCTCCCAGGATGACACCCAGAGCTGTCCTCCAGTTTCCTCTCCCCACTCTTACACTGCCTGGGGGCAGCAATTAGATACAGCAACTCATGTGGGTGAGGAAATAGGGGCTGGGGAAGTTGTGAGGTGGCCTGCTTAGGGGAAAGGAAGAGGGTGGGGGGAGGGGCAGGAAGAGGAGGGGCCTGGGGGCTGAGGAGTGGACCAGGCAGTGTCTCTAGCATCTGACCTCCTCCTCTCAAATAGGGTTGCCTGATAAAATACAGGATGCCCAGTTAAATGTGCATTTCAGAGAAACAGCAAATGCTGTTTTTAGTATAAGCATGTCCCACACAGTATTTGTTATATACTTATACTAACAAAATACTTGTTAATCTGAAATCCAAATTTAACCGGCCATCCTATATATACTCCGGTTTCTCTTCAGGTCACATAACTCTCTTGCCTTTTACAAATTTAACTGTGCATCCTGTATTTTTACTTGCCTACCTTCAAAGACAGATGAATCCAAGTACCTGATCCCCTCCTTTCCCAACACCCAGGATTCTGGCCTCCAGCCCTCCCTCCTCAGGCTCCGAGAGTCCAGGTCCCAACCCCCCTCCTCTCTGCCCTTAGGATGCATGGATGGGACACCCAGCCCCTTCTCCCCAGAATCTAGACAGCCAGGCCAGGTCTGAGTCCAGTTGCCCAACCAGGGTTTCATCAGGCGGGTGGTGCCATCCATGGCCTGGCGGAACCAGTCAGGCTGAGCGGACGAGTGAGGTGGCCCCTCTTTCCATCCTAAGCCTGAGGCTTCCTCCAGGGCCAGCCCGGAACAGGGAGCTCTGGGTGGGCCCGTGTCTAGGTTTTGGTGTGGTGCGGTGCATGTCCGTGTGGGGATTGTCTCTGTATGTGTCACTTTGTGTGTGTCCGTGTTCTGGGGTGTGAAGGGTTTTTCCCTATTTGTGTGTCTCTATCGGCATCTCTGGTTCTACACCCCACTGTGTGCCTGAGTTTGGGTGTGGTCTCAGCTGTCAAGGTTCTGTAATTCTGACTGGGTTAAGGCTGGCAATATTTATTGAGTGGTGGCCTTGTGCAATGGACTAAAAACCCGAGTTTAAACCCTGATGGCCTCTTACTGGTTGTGAAACATTGAGCAAAGAACTAACCTGTCCGGGACCTCCAATTTTCCATCTGCAAAATGGGTTGTCACAAATAGAGTTTTTGAGAAGATTAAATGAGTTAATTCATGTAAAATGTCTAGACTTGTGCCTGGCACATAGGAAGTACTTTGTGTTCATGGTACTGGTGATGATGATGATGATGATGATGATGATCTGTTTGAGCTGCTGGGGATACAATAGTCAATGAAACCAAGTCTTAGTTCACGGTCCTCACAGGAACTGGCTGGATGTCTATCAGTGGCTGACATGTAACTGCAAAGTGGGGGTGTCTGTGTTGCATGTGGGAGAGGATATTTCTGGCTGTGTTGTCTGCAGTGAGTCTGTGATTGCGTGCCTATGTTTGTGTTTGTAGGTGATTGCATGTGCTGTGTGTGTGATTCTCGGATTGTGTGGGTGTAAACACGAGATGACCTCAAGCACGTGTTGTAAGGGCACATGGTTTGTGTGCTCCTGCATTTCTGACTCTGAGGTGCTAGTAATGTGTCTTATCTGGGCCCTGCGAGGTTGGCACCTTCCAAAGTGAGCCCCAGTTTCTCCCTAAAGGGGGTGGTGGGTCCAATGGCTTTGGGAGGAACATCAGGTGGAAGGGAAGGTGGGAGGAGGTGAGGGAGACCAGGGAGCGGCTGAGAAATGAAGCGTGATGGGGACAGGAGAGACGGCAGGATGGGGCCACAGAAGAGGTGCACAGAACGATGTGGATGTTGTCCACCCACTCCATTAGCATTGGCTGAGCCCCTCCATGAGCCAGGACGTCTGCTGGGCTCTGGTTCAAGGTCGGGGGGAAAGAGAGAGGCCCAGAGAGGGAAGACCCACCAGCAAAGTTGTTGCCCTCTAGGGTGGCTCATCTGTTTCCACGAGGGACGTGGCAATGGTTCTGGACGATGGAGACTCAGTGAAGCAGAGGGACAGAGAGGGCCCTGCCCCTCCCCAGTCCTCTCTGAGGTCCGATCTGTCCAGATCAAAGAGGCTATGGGGGGAAGACTCCTCCCAGGCCTAGGGCACCCCCATGGTGAATCATTTTCTTATCACCTCCTAATAGGATAATGACACACCTGCTCCCTGTAATCACTGTTTTTGACCCCAAGCAGGCCAAATGCCCAGAGCAGGAAGGACTGGACAGCATGTGGGGGTCAGGGTGGGAAATACCCGAGTTCCCATCTTGGTCTTTCCTCCTTCAGAACCCGAAGTGGTGTCCTCTCAACGCCCCCGGCAATGTCCGGGCTCTCAGCCCCTCTCCTTCTCCCTCGTTTATCTCTTCTTCTCCCTATGGGTCTGTATGTACCTGTTTGTTTACCACCATCTGTGTTTTGTGTCTCTCCTGTCGCTTTACATCTTGATTCTCTCTCCCTGGGTGTCAATTTCCTCACTTGTAAAATGGAGATTATAATAATAATTATAATCCAATCTCTTAGATCTGTTATGAGGAAGATATGAGATAATTGTCTAAAATGCTTAGCACAGATCCTGGGCCACAGTAAACTCCATACAAGAACTCTGTCATTAATTTCAATATCTTAATCTCTCCATTGCTATCTATGCTTTTCTTTTTGTCTCCGAGTGAGTTTCAAGTCTCCTCCCACTCTGTGGGTTCCTTTCGAAGACAGCACCCTGCCCCTGACTTCCCTTTTAGGGACGAGGAAAGGGCATATTGAGGTCAGAGCTTCTACTAAGCCTCTTCATCATCTCTAGTCAAGCCCCACCTCACTTGCCTGGGGACAAGGCCTGGCTCCAATCCCATAAGGAGCCACATAAAATACTGAACTTCAACTCTGTCATCCGTGGGCAGGCCAGTGACTCTTGGGACCAAGGAGTCCCCATCCCTAAACCCCAACCTTTCAGGTTCCCAGTTCCCTCCTCCCTCAAAATCCAGGAGTTCAGGCTCTCAGCCTTCTCCTTCCTCAGACCCAGAAGTCTAGGCCCCTAGTTACTCCTCCTCACCATCCTCCTCCCTCGGGGCCCCCAGCCTCCTCAGGACCAAGGAGCCAGGGCTCTCAAGTCTCCATCCTTCCTTAGGAGCCAGGGTCATGCCAGCGAACAGTCTAGGTTCCTGCAGCCAGAAACCCCACTGGCTTCTCTCTTCTCCAATCAAACACGCTCTCAGCTACCTCCGGGTTCTGTTTGCCAGAGGAGGGTCTGACACAGAGTCCAGCTGTGATAAGCTACTCATGACATCATTCACTATTATCCACTCATAGACACCCCATCTCCTACTAGCCTGGGCCACCCCCAGCTTGTTCCTTAGTAGGCGGGGCCCCGAGC